CTACTGGACCTACCCGGCAGCACTCCAGCTGTTCTGCCCCCTGCTTCCCGGATTCAGCGCTGGTCAGTTTTAGCAGTGGCTGAATCGGGGAAGCTGGGGGCAGAGCAGCTCCAATGGTCTGGCTGCCCGGAGCACTTCCAGGTTCCTGATAATGCCGGACCATCAGGAGTGCCGGACCATCAGAGTTTTACTGTAATATTTACTTCTCCAAGATGGGCGGTGGCTGGGAAGACTGAGATAGAAAGCCTCAGACAACTGTATCCTGGTCTAAATGGGTATGTTTATGCAGCAGTGAATCTTTAAGGCCAAGTTGACAAACTGAGGCTCGGGCTATCATGCTAAAATAGCAGTGTAGACACTGAGTTCAGGCCCTAAAATCTGCACTCCTCTTTTTCCCTTTCCCCCCTCAACTCCCACTCCAGGCTTCAGAGCCTAGATTCCAGTCAGAGCTCCAATGTCTACACATTCTCTTAGGGGGATTTTTGTTCATAGTTGTTTTTAAATCATGGTTGTGTTGGGGTTTTCCCTAATAACGTTGGGTATCTTTCCCCTTTTTATTAAAAGTTTTCTTTTCTATACATAGACTCAGTGTTTGCAAGAGGAGAGGTATTGTCTCATAGAGGCATCCAGAAGTAGTGTGTCACTGTCCCAGATTAATGGATGGGAACTCCAGCTGGTTCTGTCTTGTATTAATAAAAGGAGTGTCTACATATAGAATCTGGTCCTTGTTGCTGCCAACTCCACCTGACAGAAGGGTTACAATAGAATGGCAATTTCTACCCAATCTTCAGATACTAACTGATTTCTTCTACCTTCCTGAATTTCCTATACTCTCTGCTCCCTGTCTCCCACCCCCTCCTTTTATTTCCTTGCCCCCACCTTCTCTCCTATTTATTTTGGGTCTGCACATCCTAAACTCAAAACTCTGGTCATCTGAAGAAGTGGGCTGTACCCACTAAAGCTCATGATACCATCTACATGTTTTGTTAGTCTATAAAGTGCTACCAGATCATGTTTTTTTCTGTACAGACTAATTCCTGAAATGTCTATGATTTTAGGATTTGTAGATTTAACAGAAGAAATATTTGGTTCTCAACTTCTTCTATTTTAACCAAAATTTTTCTTTAATTCTCTATGGAGCAGTTTCTTACTGGAGCATTAAATCCAATTCTAAAAAGAGCAGTCTAAGTGGATTTGCATGCACACACTAGTCTTGATTCATATTTTAACTTTGTTGGTAGAAGGGTTAAAGAATTCCACTGATGACTGAGCTGAAGCAAAACCAAAACCAGTACCATAATAAGAAAATAATGGAAATACATTCAATGTTTACATTCCTAACACCAATTCAGTAGCAAATTTCTAATGAGAGATTCATGCTGGAGATAGATAGAAGAAAAAGATAAGCAATACTGTTTAAGAAGAAGAGAAACATCCTGTATCTGGTAAAAAAAAAAAAAAAAAAAAAAAAGTGAAAATTCCATTTATAACTACATGAAATTTAAAAAGTGATTGTCAATGTTATAATTAGATACACTACACAACTATTTTTTTCCTTAAATCTCAAACTGCATGGTGAGAAAGCTATTTTGCACTCTTAATAATTGATAGCTTGAGGCTCAGCCTTAAAGTGGTCCAAAACTTTTTATGTCACACCCCTCTCACTGTTAATGTATTTTGTCCACAGCCCTCCAAGAGCTGCAGTCAGGAGCCAGAGACAGCAGCAGGGCCATAGTCGGGGACCAGGATCTGGACCGTAGTCGAGTCCAAGGCCAGAATTGAAGTTCTAGCTGGGGCACTGGAGAGGGCCTATGATGGAGCGGGGAGCAGAGAAATGGCTGGGAGCTAGGGCAGGAGCAAGTGGTACTCCGTCCCCACCCTCCATGGGGATTGGCCCAGGCCCTACCACTCCTCCCCTGAACATTCCTCTGTGCCCCCTGTAAGGCATGCCCCAGAGTTTGGGCACCACTGAGTGCCAGATGTTGAACACATTTGTTAAGGCTCTGTGCATCTATTTTAATTTTATATTTAAAGATAATTCTTCCCATATTCTAAGATTATTATTTTGCTTTGATGCTTTTTTCTTGAGCATTTTCAGATAAAGCTTTGGATTAAGCTATGCAAGGTGATCAAGAGCACTAAATTTCAATAACAGAGAATAGAAAATGTAGCCTTCAGCATATTAAACTCGCCTCTATGAGCTATACATGAAAATATATTGCTCCCCTCAGAAAACTCTCCATTGCTATAATTGTCATTTCACACATCAGTGATCAATCTCAGCTGAGCACATTCTGTAAGTCCACACAATTATAAAAAATTACATACCGAAGGAAAATTAAAACCTTTCCTTCATGAGCAAGTTTACTCACCTTGTGAGTTTATATGAAAATGACTTTGCTGCTGCTTCTCAATACAAAGCCAAACAAACTGAAGACACGTAAATTATTGATAGGAAAGGGACAAAGACACAGCAATCTACATTGTGCATACTTTTAATCAGAAACACAAAGACAGCAGATTATTTTAAAAACAAAATATTAAAAAGATATAATCTGCAGTCTTAATAACCATTCTCTCTCTCACACACACAGGGATAGAGGCTACATTTAGGTGACTGGTAAAAAACGAAAGATAGTTAATAATAGGAGGAAGGGGTTGAGTTAGGGCTGTTAACTATTTGATTAGTTGATTAATCTAATTGTGACAGAGTTTCCATTGACTATTGTATTAGTTGATATGGGTGCTTCTGCTTTGAAATGTAGCAAGAGTCCACCCATCTCTTGCTACATTTCAAAGGCAGAAGTGCCACTCAGCAGGGGCCCTTGAAATGTCGATTAGTCGCTTACATCCCTAGTTTGAGTGATGAAAATAAGCTATGAAGAGTGACACTAAACTGAGAGGGAAGTAGATTAAAAAAAAATCAAAACTAGAAGGGATCAGAGGTATTTCGTGTCAAAGTGATTTTGAAAGAAAATTAAATTTCTGTAAAATATAAATTCTCAGTTGGAAAAATTCAATTTTGCTGAACTTATTTGTTTAGATTTTCTTGATGGAAAATCAAAGTTTTGATATAGGTTGGTTCAACCCAAATTAAGAACAGTTTGGCTTGAGGAACTAAACCAATATATTTTGTTTGGAGTCAGTTTGACATTAACTACATTTTTAGTGCAGTGATTTTATGCCATCATTCTTTCAAAAGGACAGGGCTCTGTGGTCAGTCTATATCTCAAAGACCGCAATTTTTCTTATAAACAATATGGTTCCTCAAGATAGATGCAGTCAGGCCAGGGAGCCAAGTTACAGACAATGACAACACATTGCATGAGAACTTCAACACAAACAAGGCACTCTAGCATCACCAGTAAATTAAGTTTAACATCAAAGCAACACAAAACATTTCTGTTACGTGTAAAAAAACATTTGCTTTTAGGAATGTCAAAACATTTTCTTCTGATCAAAAAATATTAAAAAAAAGTAATTCTGGCATTTCCAAATCAAAATTTAACAGAACTTTTCAGCCAGCAAAATAAATAAATAAATAAATCTCTGCCCTGATTTAGAAGAAAAACAACTTTGGTTATTAACCTTTCCATACCTAGTGTACAAGATGGGTTGCACATGTCCATTCTACTGTAGGTGTGTGTGTGCTACAATGAACTGTTGAGTTTTTGTCTAGGTGATACCTGTCAGGGTGGGGCTAGTGCCTTCTGCTGCTTCATGCACAACAAGCAAGCATAAAAGGGTCAACCACCCAACACCCTCCTGCTCTCTCGGTTCTCTCCTACTGGAAAAACTCCAAATAGAGAGGGGGAAAGGATCATGAAATGGACATGTGCATCACATCTTGAATAATAGACACAGAAAGGTTATTAACCATTTTTTATTCTTCTAGTGAATGCACATCCATTCCAGTGTAGGAGACTCACAAGAAATACCAACTAAAGCTGTGTTTGGAACAGGGACTGGAGGATCACTAGCTCAAATTTAACATTATCTCCAGATTGCTGAGAGATTGTGCCCTGAAAGGCAAACATGCGACATAATAACCAGAATGCCGCATTGCAAATGTCTAATATTGGCATGTTAGCAAGAAATTCTTCAAAGGTCACTTGGAATCTTGCCAAAATACACCATTATCCTATCCAGTTGTTTCATGATACCTAAGTGGTAACAGACAAATACAACCAAATTTGTGACAAAATCCTTTGCATGGAAACAAGACCACACATCATTTTGTCCAAAAAAGCAAAGAACAATTGAGACAAACTTGTTCCAGATAAAAATCACTAAAACTCTTTCAACATCTAGTGTGCAAATTCTCTCCTCCCACTTTGATTACCAGGAAGCTTTTGGAAGAAGGCTGGTAAGAAAATTGCTTGGTTGATTCGAAAAGTGGAGGCCATTCTCATAAGAAAGCTTGGAAGTGAAGAAGAAAGCAAACTTTATCTGTGTAAAAAAATGGTATGAAGGATCTGATACTAGCTATTATGTTAATCAGGGAGAGTTGAGGATGCAACTAAATACTCGCCCTTTAATGAAAAATGCAACAAAGCAGAGCGCCTGAGGCTTGGGAGAAGAGGACTAATCCCTTTTGTTAAGATTCAAGCTCTAGGATGCAACTAACTTTTGCACATGTGAAAACACTTTGTCTAACTCCTTTGAAAAACTTAGGCTAGGTCTACACCAGCAGTTCCCAACAGTTTCCAGATGGGGACCAATTTTGACAATTCAGGAAGACTTGGTGACCCAAGGCAATTCAAAAACGGGGGAGGGGAGGGGCCAGAGCCACCTGGAGAGACACTTGGCAACCCTTTTGAAATGTAATCACAACCCATATTTGGGTCTCGACCCATAAGTTAGGAAACCCTGGTCTACACTATAGGGTTTTTTTTTTGTTTGTTTTTTTTTTAAGAAAAGCTACGCAAATTGCGCTGTGCAATTTACGTAGCTTTTTCCGATCGCTTTTCCAGAAGAGGCTTTTCTGCCATTTGGCCCCGTCTAGACGGGGCCAAATGGTAGGAAAGCCTCCTTTTTTGGTGGAGCACTTATCCCTCATAGAATGAGGTACACAGGGCTCCCCAAAAGAGCATGTTTGCTCTTCAGCAGAAAAAAGGGTAATACACGCATTCCTTTGACATGGCGGAGTTTTTCCCGGGATACCACCGGTATCCCAGAAAACGCCCATAGTGTAGATGTACCCCCAGTGAAGCTGGACTGGAAAAAAGGAAATAGTTATCAACAGAAGGTAAAAATGCTGATATAGTTGCCATGTGTACCCTGAAGGGTCTTACTGCCAATTCCCAATATTTCATGTCAAAACATCATCCAGCACATGCTGAATAAAAGCACAAATGGGAAAGATGTTTTTCTTCCACAATCATCTGGAAAACCTCATCTGGAAAACCTCCTCCATTTAGCAAAGTAAGTTACCCTAGGTAGTTTTCTACTTTTCAGCAGTACTTCTTGCACCTCTTAGAACAGGACTCCTCCACCAAAAAGTTCAAAAAGTCTTAACCAAAAAGTCTCTCTTGTGTCAAATGAAGGGACAAAAGAATGGGGTGGAAGTGGAGGCCATGATTCTATCAGTCCCCACTATCACTCTGAGTTAGAGGTGGAGAGCTCTGAAAAGGAGCCATGCCAGGGCGACCAGTGAAAGACTGGCCTTGTCTTGCATAACCTAGCGAAGAACTTCAGGAAGAAGAACGGATAGAGAGAAAAGCATACAGCAGGCCAACAGAAAAGACTCCCTCAATGCTCTGGAAAAGAGCTGGTAACATTTTGCATTGTCCTTTGTAGCAAATAACTAGGGAGTTCCACAGAGCTGGGAAATGGATTCTGCTATGTCTCGCCAAGACATCACACATGTGTGATTGATAAACATCCTGCTTAGGCAAATTTCATTTTTAACAGGATGCTACATAATAACACCAGGCACACTCAATTGCATATTTCAGAAGGGACTTAATGAGGTCCCATGTAGCTCTAAGGCAATTTATAGAGGCAACCACTAGTACTGGTAACCACTGTAAGGCAGAAGAAAAATTACTTGAGGATGAGAAAATAAAAAAGAGGAAACCAAGTTTCAAAAGGCTGTACATTTTAATTAGTAAGAGAGAAAGGACAAAGTGTGAAAACAATGGGATTAAAGAATAAATATTAGCAGTAGAAGTACAGAGAACTCTCAACAGGCATGTTATAAAACATGGCATTCGTTTTAGATTTATCTTAATTTAGATGTTTTAAAACCACTTACAGTAAACGCTAAATGTACTACTTAATACTAGGGATGTAAAAGGTTAACCGGTAAGCCTCACCCTTAACGGGTGAGGCTTACCAGTTCCAGTTACTGTAAGTGGTTTTAAAACATCTGAATTAAGATACAACTAAAACAAATGCCATGTTTTATAACATGCCTGTTGAGAGTTCTCTGTACTTCTACTGCTAATATTTATTCTTTAATCCCATTGTTTTCACACTTTGTCCTTTCTCTCTTACTAATTAAAATGTACAGCCTTTTGAAACTTGGTTTAAGTAGTACATTTAGCGTTTACTGTAAGTGGTTTTAAAACATCTAAATTAAGATAAATCTAAAACGAATGCCATGTTTTATAACATGCCTGTTGAGAGTTCTCTGTACTTCTACTGCTAATATTTATTCTTTAATCCCATTGTTTTCACACTTTGTCCTTTCTCCTTTACCTCATGTCAAACTTCCATTTGTTTCTGCCTCTGAAAAAACAAGTCAGCTTCTTGTCAAAATATGTACTTTTCACAAAATGTTGGTATGCTACCGTTTCTTTTATTTTAGAAGGTTTTGTAGTAAATGTAAAGTTTAAATGAATCATCTGAATCATAAAAATTAACTCAATTGCCATGTGTATATATCTACATAAATACTAGTTTGGGAATCTGAAAAAGTTATGAAATACCTTTCAATTCAGAGTAACAGATTTTAAATCTATTTTCACTATGTAACCTTAAGCAATGCCCCAAAATAGTTTATTCCAATATGAGTTCTGGACTAATAATTTTAAAAACTCACTCCACTGCAGAAAAGTGTGTGTGTGTGTGTGTGTGTGTTGCTCAGGTTCTTCAGGGCAGGGGGTGCAGAAGTCAGAGCAGGAGGCTGGGGGACAAGGAGAAGCCCGGGGCAGGAGCTGCGGGAGTGGGAGGGCTGGAGTGAGGGTTCAGGGATGAGGAAAGGCTCAGGGCAGGGTGCTGGAGGTGTGAGGGTGCAGAAGTGAGAGTTTGGGGGTAGGAGGGGCTCAGGGCAGAAGGCTGGATCTGTGGGGAATGCAGACATCAGGGGATGAGAGTGAGGAGGAGCTCAGGGGAGGGAGCTATGGTATGGGTGGCTGAGGCAAGGGGGTGGGGGTTTGGGAGTCAGAGCAGGGAGCTGGGAGGTGTGGAAGGGCTCACAGGGGCTGCCCATGGCGGCAAGGTAGCACTGCTCCAATGACAGAGGCTTCCTGGGCCTCCCTGACTCTGGCTGGCAGCTCCTCCTGGAAAAAGAGCTGCACTACACCCCTGGCTCAGTGCCTCCTCTGAGGGGGAGGGAGCTGGACTGCCTGGTCACAGCCAGCGGCTCCTTGGGGGGGGGGAGGGCA